TGAAGGACTGTCGTTGTAGGATATTCCTGTTTTAGGTCAGTTGCAATCATGTTTTTGCCCAACACAATACAGGGCGCATTCTCCCACTTCCGAATATTTCACAAAAAAGCGCAGCCTACGCCATATCCAAATGAATTGCGCAGCCACACCCTTCACATCTTCGGGCTATGTAATGCACTAAGCAGGGGAGTCTGCCAACTTATCGAGGAACTTTGAATGGAGACTCGGCTAGATCGATAGAGTCTATAAGGTTATTTACAAATATAGATAGCAAAACTGCAACCTGCATTTCACAAGCAACTTATGAGCAGGTAAAGTTTGTAATGGTGCAGTAGGGTGGAGGCTTGGTGGTGAGCTGTGAAGCATAAGCGAGGAATCGCATACGTCGAATCGAGTCGTGGTGGTTCAGTGGTAAGGTTCGACGTTCGACGACTCGATTCGACGTATGCGATTCCTCGCTTATGCTTCACAGCTCACCACCAAGCCTCCACCCTACTGCACCATTACAAACTTTACCTGCTCATAAGTTGCTTGTGAAATGCAGGTTGCAGTTTTGCTATCTATATTTGTAAATAACCTTATAGACTCTATCGATCTACCCAGGCCTGGCCTCCATCCAAAGTTCCTGGTAAGTTGGCGGACTTCCCTGATAAGACTCAAGCGGGTTGTGGGTTTTTCCGCTTAAAAGCTGGAACTCAGAGCATTCAATCAGACCACTAAAGTAAAAATTCAACCTATCATCCTTGAAAGGCATATAAAATATTCACACAAACGCGAAGGTATTTACTAGGCTGAATTTGTTTTCGTTTTTTAGCACGAAGGCTTGGAAGATCAAGATCAGGAGAGCAAGAACACGAAGAAAACGACTCACCTGTTGTCAAGGCTAGTTAATCTCGTTTTTACAAATTTATTTTCATGCGAATGGCTCTGTTCGTTGACAACGAAACAGGGTACAGCATCGTGAGTTTGAAATGTTGGTGTCAGTACGACCCACCCACCCCGGAAAAGAGTCCTGGTACGCTCCCTCCACACCTAAAGGAAGGTCTCAGTGCGATATCCCTCCCCCTTCCCCACACCTATCTACCAATTTCCCACATTTTCCAGTTTTTCACCCAGAAATGTTCCGTCGAGTGGGGGGGGGAGTATATAGTCAGTGTGGAACGGGAAAATTTTTATATTTTTGCCTTTTTCCAAAATATCCCGACAATTTTCCTATTTTTACCCGAAAATCTTGCTGCGAGGGGAGGGGTATATAGTACGGTATATAGTACAACAACCGGGAAAATTTTTTCCTAACGCGGCAAATTTCTCTCGAGCCACCTACGACCCGGCTCCCCTCTGCCAACAAGGACAAATACGACCCTCCCCCCTTTCACACAACGATGCTGTAGCGATTCCGCAGACACGTTAAAAACAGCAGTTGCTATTCGAAAACAACTGGATGAATGTGCAATTTGAGCATTTCTTTACTAATTTCGTGCCTCGTGGTGCAGAATTACATCGCGATGCCATTTCAGTGTTTGCGGCGTTTCCGCAATGTGAGGGAAAGTGTCCGCGAGAGAAGACGGGATTTTTTTCAGCGAATTCTTTACGGCGTGCGAAAGGTCGCTTGTGGTGTGAACGGATCTATCAATCCAGTGTTCGGAAATCATACAGTCGTCCTAATGTGAGAAATGATAGACCTAGTTTTCACTGTACAGGAATGAAGACAGAGAAATTCGATATTTCAGTAACAGTGATACGGATCATGTTGATGGGATTTCGTTCAAAGTCACCGAGGAGAAGTGGATGTCGAACTTTGCGAATCTTGAACAATTTGCCAGAGTAGGAAATGTATGTGCTTTTTATAACTTCGAAACAATTTTTGACGGTGATCGGTTTGGGAGGGGCTTTTCGCTTTTTGGCTAGTTTTTTTTGCTAGTTCTTGTTGAATTACACGTCACACCATGGTGGGACCTACACACTTTTGTCAGATGTTTGCGAAGTTCCTGCCATTCCTAGCTTTACAGTAGTTTACTTGTTTGCAGGAGGCATCAGCAGTGGTATATGTCAACCGGCGAAATGCCCTCACCAAGCCGAACTCACCCAGTTTTTCATATCGATTCGAATTCGCCTCACATTTGACTTGCACGCTCACTGAGGCCTTTCCTAAACTGGATTTTTCTCCTTGTTACTCTATATGCTCGTTCAAAGCGCGTTCAAGTTATAGCCGAAATGAGCCCATGCTTTTCCTGAAGATTTTCTGTCAAAAGCTGAATTTGAAAGTGTCGCAGTAAAGGGTAAATAGTGCTGAAAATGCCTCCAAGAAAAATGATGCGGAACTATTATGACCTCCCGATAGCTTCTGAAGGTATGTGGGCGCAGTTTGGCAACGGGTGGGGCATTTTGTCCTTTTGCTACTTCATCGTGTCAATTCATCAGATGGAGACCTGTGAAATCTTGTAAAGCCACGAAATAATATCAACCAAAGTTTGTGGAGACCACTTGTCAGCTCTTGTGAATTTATTATGAAATTCATCTCATGAGATAACAAAAGCTGACGGGTTTCACCAGAGTGAGACTTCCTCACGAGTGAGACTTGTAAACCGAACTAGTAAAGCAGTCAAAGTGCAAAATTCCCCATTTTCATGGTCATTTAGACCAGATCGCAGTGAAAACATCACTAGGAATTCAGACGGAAACTGAGTTGCATGGCACTAGAACCCGACATATGTTTTTGATATCTTCCGTATTACAATTTCGCTATTTGATCTGAGTTGAGTGCTCCTTTCAAATGGCGACCGAGAGTCAAATCCCGAATCAGCTCCCCCCCTCCGGCCAACCAAACCATCTACCCTCCTGAAACGGGAAAATGATACCCAGTTCGCCTTGGACTACAAGAACAATACTTGTGCATCAGCTGCTCCCCATAACCATCCTATCCCCAACCCCTCCCCCCCCCCCCGCCCCCCCTCCCTCCTCCTTGTGCTGGCCACATTCCATTCATTAAGGCCTCTCTGCATTTTCGAATAAAAGCCGAATACGTGCCTCATAACAAAAAGGGCTGATCGGTTTCCTCCCTATCCTTTGTCCTTTTACAGAATCCTTTTACAGAAGGATAAAGGAAGTTTTACAGAAGTTGTGCTCGTCTGGTCCGATTGGCCTGATCAACTTTGGCATCAGCGATGAGCATGTGGAGTATGATTGGAGCATGATGGAAAGCATCATGGATGCAAGGTTCAAAGCGAAAGAACGAACAATTGAAGAGCTCGGACGTTGTGTGGTCCGTTTTTTTTTTACTTTATCTTGTACCATTTTGTTTTTTGTTGTCATTTTCTATTTTTTAACGTAAATTATTTCTATAGGTATCATTACAACGATCCAAATGCACCTGACGATGCGACGGACGTGGCGACGACTACACGTGGGAGTCCATCGTCGGACAAAGAAAATAGTAATATACGCTCGTCGCCTCGAAAGGCGCCACGTCCACTGCAAAAACCTCCAATAAAGTCGCTGTCGCCAAGGAAAACTAATGGTCTGCTGAGATCTCCGGTGAAATCGACGCCCCCACAGCAAGACTGCAGTTCTCCGAAATCGGGACTGTTGAGGACACTGTCGCCGCGAAAATGCAATGCTGTGCCAAAATCTCCAGAGAAATCCTTATCGCCTAGGAAAGCTAACGGTTCACCGAAATCACCGGTAAAATCGTTGACGCCCCAAGAAATGAACGGTTCAACGTCTGATATCGATTCGGGCCTTCCAAATGGTGTCCTCGATCGTATTCCTGGTCTAGTTTGTCCTTTTACAAATAAGGCATTCAATACTGTTGAGGACCTTGAGCAACATCTTCAAACGTCCTATTCAGTATTCAAATTTGAGATTATTGTGAGTTCCAATCCATTCACGGCATCCTCATTTGGTTAGAAGGAGGTCTGATGATGGGTTTTTCAGAAGTCCACACCCTTTACCGTCCATTTCATTGTCTCCAGCGCTGTGTCTCGTACGGACTGGGAAAAACCACGCGCAGATCCGGAACAAACGAGGGTTCCAATTGTGTGAGTGAGATTTCCAATTGTGTGAGTGAGATTTCCAAAGTTGAAATCTTAGATCGGCCTCTAATACGCTTATGACTAGACGAAATTTTTTGAATTTTTGTTATTATAAAAGTGAGCTATACACTCAACTCCCTGGGTCCTGATCCTTGCCGTGTGTGGGGAGAATGGGTCTGCAAGTGCAGTAGCGTGTCACTTTACACGCTCGAAAATGCACGGGAACGCTGGAGGGTATTGATACCCTGGTGCCAACTCCATACTCCATCTCGCGCTACCACATAGCCAACCAGGCGACTAACCATAGCCTAACGCGCTGGTTGTCTGCGCCCTATCAATTCTTGTTATTCTCTGCCCGTGACTACGTGTTTCGTTTCGGGACCTTGGCGTCGACGCAGGGGCTGCAAATTTAGGATAGCGCGAGGAGTATGGGGACACCACTCCGCTCCTCCCGTGCTAGCCTCAGTTTGCAAATCTTGCGTTTATACCAATGTCCTGCAGCAAAACACGCACTTAGGAGTAGAGAACAACCGGAAGAGAGGGCGCAGACAAACAGCGCGTTAGACTATGGTTGGGCGCCTGACTGGCTGTGTGGTAGCGCAAGACGAAGTACGGAGTCGGCACTAGGGCATCACTACCCTCCGACCCTGTCCCCGTGCATTTTTAAGCGGCGAAAGTGGAACGCACTGCAGCTGCGGACCATCCACCTCGCACATGGGAAAGACTGTCGGAGGCGACCGTGCAGTTTGTCGCAACATAAACACTCACTGATTTTCCCCTGCAGGACAGCCATTTCTCCGAAGAAAAAGATTCTGTATGCACCACCGGTTGAAGTTCCTGTGAAGAGGAAGAACGAGCTCCCAAAGGCTCAGATGATTCCATTTGGGGAAATGTCATTCGTCCCTCCGACATATTCTCGGTAAGTGTTAATTATACTTTTCAGTCTTTTGTCTTATTAGATACTATAGGTGGTTTTCTTGTTATTTTTCTGAATGTTGTTGTTTTCATATATTTATTTCGTTTATTATTTTGTAGTGTGAAATTCCAATTCCAGGGTCCCTGGACCATCGTCCGCAAAAGTTTATCACTCGGTGATTGAGGACACATGTGATTGGAAAGGCCATCTTGTAGAGCGGGTATGCTGTTTCTTGCATATTTGTAAATGTTTTCGGCTCAATTCGACTTGGTGGGGGCATTTTGTTGGTTCCCATCGATCACTACCGATGCCTTCTGTAGGTGCACGATAACTCCTGTAAAGCTATCAGTAGCAAAAGCTTTGTTTATAATGGAGAATTTCGGGTGTGCGACTCTTATCAAGATAAGGCACGTAAGTTGAGAGGAACTAATTAAACAAACTGCCGAAAGTACGAAATGCTCCTCCAAAGCCGAACAGCGCTGTTTTTCTTTCGTTTCTGTACTGATTTTTCCTCAGCGTCTTCTTTTCTCAACTGTTCTATGTTTCTAGAATATTCGAGATTACATCGATGACACGCCGCAAGAGAAAGAATTTATGTTGCTTCACAACCGCTTCCGTGCCAAATATCGACATTTAATTGTTGGACAGAAGCTCACGTTGGACTTTTATGTGAGTTTTTCTCAGTTTTCTAGTGTAATGCGGAAACAGGACATGTCTTGGAAAAGTCTTGCAAAATAGTACTCCCTCTCCCTAGCTTGCTCCCAGTTTTCCAGCTTCGGGACGACCTTCTTTCGCAGACTACCTACCATCTTCCTAATTTTCCCTAACTTCCTGTCATTTCTCCGAAATGTTCTTGTGTTTTCCAAAGAAACGGAGAATACGAAAAATGTCAGGGTAACATATGTTCCAGAGGTAACTACGATCCTTCCTCCTCCAGCGACCAAACGCACCCCCCCCCCTCGCTGGAGATCCCCAACGTACGACGTGCTCTGTGAGGAAAGGCGCGGCTTGTTGTAGAATTTCCCAACTACATGGCTGTATCTGAAACTTTTCTGGTTAGTAAGGTCGTGGAGACTTTGGGGCCAGTGAAATTTCTTCACGTGTCCACATATGTGTTAATATAAATCTTCCTTCTCCTTCCTGCGGTCCACGGGTCTTTTTCAGAACATTGGAAGTAAGGTAAGAGTGAATGTGGATTCTGAAGTTGGGGCAGTCTCACTTGAAATACATTTCTATGGTGTGCTCTGGTGAAAAGAAGGTAGTTATCAAGAGAAAACTGGTGTAAGGTAAGGTGTTGTCTAAAAAATCCTCTGCTAGAGCCACTACGTGGACGGAGTTGGGGGACGTGCTCAAGGTTGTTGAGGAATGAGTAAATTTAAATCAAAAGCAGTTTTAGCAATTTTCCCCTAAAACTTTCAATTTTCTAAAAAATTTTCAGTTTTTCCCCCATAAGTGCCGTCGAGAGGAGAGGGGAGAGGGATTAGATAGCGCACATGAAACGACAGAAAAATTCAACTACACAAAACATTTTTCTCAAAGGCGAATGCGGCCCCTTTTCTACAGCCACGAGATTCGACTCCTCTCGCTGGGTATCCCCTCCCATGCCTATAAAACCCGTGAGGGTCAGCTGATTGCCCCTGACGACCTAAGCGTCTCAAGATGCGTCCCACTCCTTCGAACTTTTTCTATTCAAACAGGAAATCTACGCTTGCGCGACGCGTACGCGCCGCCTTCCCCCGAAAAAAGTATTGGCTTTTTTGAACCCTCTAGTCAAGAAGCGCTGTGGATGAGTCGGAGGGGGCGAATATCTTAATTTCTAGGTGTGGTGTAGAGTGCTATGTTCCGGCGAAGCGATGAAATACAATTTCTTCGCTGCGGACGGGGGGCGTAATCAGAACGTGAGGGGAGGGGCTTTGTGGCGGCGCCAAGTCTCTCTTTCATCAGTTTGTGGTCACCTGCCAACTCCAACAATTACGCGACAAAGGGCTGGCGCCGCGCCAAACCCAGCCCTCCAAAACGCCTCAGCGCCCGCAGCGAACAGGAGTGTACATGCAGTAATTACGTGAACTGGTTACGCTCGATCCCGGCTGCCACAAGGGGCTCCACAACCAATCATTCCTGCGAAGCTGTGCGATAGCAGGAGCTTTTTTACCGGCGGACAAGAGTCTGCAGGTTTCACCAAGATGTGACGTGAAACTTAATTGGAACCTGAAAAGTACTCAACAAAAGCGCAAAATGCCCCTTTTAAGCCGAACACTGAGCAGAATCCTTCTGATAAATTGTGCACGGCGGTGCAGTATTTTTTTCTGTTATTTCTTGGTAGGTGTTCGAAAATTCTGGCATCAGTGTTTCTTTTCAGACGAAATTCGTTGAAAGTTGTGGTATGGAAATGAAGAAGAAACGTATACGGGCACACTGTGTAGCGCGGCTCACTCGACTCGTACAACAGGACAAAATGACGCCGACCAACATGGCCACTCTAACTCAAAAATTGTACGAGTTAGGTCCAAACGAGGCAGATTAACAACGTTCTCTCGTCAATATCACATCAAATTGTCTATGACGTCATTTTTGCTCATTTCGGTTAGAAAAGTCAGATCGTTGAGGTGTTGTCTTGAAGTTTTGTTTCCAACTAGGAATAATTTTTGATATGTGAAAGTTCGATTTTGATTTGATCTGGAAGGCTGTTTCGCTGGATTCCAGTCGATTTCAGCTTTTATCCTTGTTGTGTATTCTTCTTGAAGGATAATTATAAGAAATTTCTATTTTTTTCCGATTACTACCTACTGCCCGCTAAAATATCCTTTGTGAAGGCTTTCCACTGGTTTTTACATCGTGGCTTTCGATGTTTTTCTGTTTTTTGTTTTTACAATGCAATTTTATGACCTAAATGAACACATACTGCTCGATCTCTATGATATGTTAAATTAGAAGTGGATTCATGTTTTTCTTGGATTTTTCGGATTTTTTCACTGCCGCTCGTCTTTTGTAATGTTGTAGGGTAAATGCGCTCGTCTGTAAATAAGGTATCTCTCAAAATTCGTTGTTTTTTGTCTGTGTTGCGGTAAAACTGCCAGTTTCTATCACAGAAGTTTCTTTCTCCGTTCATACCTCGAAGAAAATTCCTTGTGAACTCGTGTCCTAGCGAAGGTGTCAGTTTCCTTTTTATATTATTTTTATATAAAATTTTTGAATTTGTTTCTTAGAAGAATTTTAGGAGTGGTGATTCTATTTTATTCTATTATATTTTAGGTTTCGTATTTTGTTCGTTACAACGATTATTGTGCTATAATTTTAGACTTTATGAACAATGATTGATGCTCCCCCTGTCTCTCTCTGTCTGTTCGTTAAATTTTCGATCAAGTGAATATTAAATATATGTGTGGTAATCGATTAATGATTTGATGAATTTGAAGGCTTGATCAAGCTATTGATCTTGACAGAATTTTGAATCGTAAATGACTGCATTTTTATAGTACAATTAGGGTCAGGGTGCGGCATCGCGCTGTGTGAAGTGGCGGTAACCGTACGACTCCCTCCCCCTCCCAAAACTTCCTCATCTACTGCCTGGGCACATCCTGACTGTTTGGAATAATTTAGCAGAACACGAGCCCTCAATTTCTTCCACTGGTACTACCCCTCCCTCTCTTTCCGAGGGACTTCTGTGAAGGGGGGGGGGATGGGTGGCAAAAGGGTCGTCTCCACACAACCAATATTTCCACTAATTCACTCATTCGACAGGATTCCTTCCCTATTTTACCTACCGCTTTCTAAAAATTCTACCTTTTTTCCAATTTCCTTGAGTTTCTCCGATTTCCCCTCATAAAGGAAAACACCGTTGAGTGGGTGGTGGGGGAGGGGGGGGAGAGTGAAGGAATAGTGGGGGCCGTCTCCGATCACCGAGTAAGTTCATCCAGCAGAAGTAGTGGTTCTGCGAGAGGTTTAGCGAATATGAAACGGGAAACCGAGAGAAGTCAGCAGCGGTAAAACCTTCCTCGCGGTTTGACACAGATTTTCTCAAATGCAGATGTAGTTCGCTGAGGACGGTTGGGCGTGTCAGGCGGGATGAGTTTGGCGCGGTGCCAAACCCGTTCTCCACCAGTTGTTAAAGCGAGCAAATGATATGACTATCATATCGTTCGTATTACTCGTTTTCTACCACTTTTTGTCGCATGCGCGCTTCAACAAGAAAGCGGAGAA